GAATATGTGTATTAGGGCTGTCAAGTTCCAAAATTTCAAAGCTGTCATTCTTTAAAGGTAAATTATACATCTAAGTATATAGAGTAAATGTGGTTAATTCACTTCTGATGTGGAAAAATTATATACCTGGAGTGTAAAGGAGGAAAAACAGTGGACTTACTGTTATGTCATATGTCTAGAATTTATGTGTGCCTTTCAATAGACTTTTTCCTAGTGTTTATTTAAAAAGTAGAGTAAGGCTTTTAAAGAATGCTTTGAGTAACGCCATAACTGAAGTGTAGCCAGTTAATTTTGCAGATGCAACATTGTTGAAATGAAAACAGTAAAAGTATAAGAGGGCAAAATAATTAAAAACCAACCCATTCTCTTGACTCAGAAAAATAAAAGCTTTCTGTATGTGACAGAGGCTAGGATATTCTTTTCTGATTACATATATAATATTAAAAGGTAAAATTAAAAATAACTTACATTCATATTTCATAAAGTTTTAAGCAACTTTGTTTTGCTGTCATAGCATCTGTTTATTTTACTTTAAAAATTGTTTCATTTGTCTTTATCCACTGTATTATTAAATCATCAAAATATAATTTTGGAATATTTCTCTCCCAGGAATAAAACAAAATATGGCTTATATATACTGTAGTTATTTACTTCAGGCCTTGTTCGTTCTCTCACAAATTTTTTCAAATACACTTAAAAGATCCCCTACTAGTACATGCCAGATATTGTGCTAGGAACTGAAATGTATAAAAAGAATGTGTGGAAACCAGAAAATATTCATTAGAAAAAATTTCCTGATCAGAAACGATCCATATGGCCATGTAGCACAACTCAGGGTATTTGAAACTGGAGATGTTAAATGGTTCATTTTGGAAACTACCTCTTCAGAATGGAATAAATGAGATGTTAATATTATTGCTTGCTTTTTTCATTTAGAGTTTTATGACTTAAAGTCCATCCATGTTGGGCTGCCATTCCACCGCTCCCAGCCCAGAGGAAGGGGCTTCCAGGCCACCATGTTGCTACTTTGACTTCTAATGTTCTTCTACCACATTTTACCTATCCTCTCCTACACTGATGAAACAGAATGCTTCTCTTTATTGTCACTGATGAAGCTTGAAAGCATATTCTACTACATGTTGGTCCTGCGAAGAATTTCTTTGCTATACACACAGAATGCTGGATCATGACAAATAGCTAATTCAGCTAGGTATTGCTACCAGATTGCTTTTCATAATTGTTACCACTGTATATAATCCCATCAGCACTGTCAGTTCCTAAAGGGAGCTCATTAACACATAGCTTTCTGATTTTTACCAAACTGATAACATAATGTGATCATATTGTTAATGCCTCTAGATTTTCTCCTGTTAGATATCCTTGTCCTTTCTTTTTTTTTTATTACAGTTGATACATAGTTTTTCTTTGCTGTCCTGAGAATCAAACAGGAGGGCAGGCCTCAGCATGCTAGGCAAGCTCTCTACTACTGAGCTACAGCCTAACCCTATGAAGTTGCTACCTTTTTAAAAAGTTGATTTGTAGTTAGTTTTTTTTCAAGATATCTTTAGTTCAGTCCAGAAATTATTAATTTTGATGTTTTAATCATTTTTGGTCTTGTGCAGTTTTTTAGAAGTTTTTCCCTGGCTTCAAGTCACAAAGGTATTCTCCTGTATTATGTTTGATTAATTTAAAATTTTACTATCCCACTTTATTTTTTTCTCCTCCTTCATATGTGACATTATATAGGTATAAAGTTTAAATTTTCTTCATCTAATGTTACCATTAATGAGAACTAAATATATCAATTTCTTCCCTTATGTGCCAACCTTATTTTGTACTATATTCTCAAATTATATGTGGCTTTATTTCTGAGCTCTACTTTGTTCTATTTGTTCTTATGCTAATTTCACCCTATTTTAATTTTTGTGGTTTTTGTAATAGGTCTCTATATTTTGAAGGTCAAGAACTCCCTTTATTCTTCTGTTTAAACAGTTGGTTTTTGTGTCGAATTATATTCCTTCCATATAAACTATAAAGCTCATTTATAGAGTTCTTTAAATTTTTTATTAGAATTGTATAAAGTTGGTATCTTTATATTTATTCCATCCGAGAGTGTAAAATATCTCTAATCTACATCTAATTAGATCTTGTATATTACTGATTAATGGCTATATTCTCTGTAGAGTTGGAGGTTTTTGTTTTGTTTTTCCTACTATGAAATATATATTTTCTAGTTAGCATTGCTGGTATAAGTTCAGAGATTTAGCTCAGTGGTTCCACTGCCTGCCTCACAAGCACAAGGTCCCAAGTTCGATCCCCGTAACCAAAAAAACGCATAAATTCATACAGCTGTCATTTATTTGTCATGTTAACTGGGATTTTCAGTAACACATCAGACAATATCAATCATCATGGTCATCCTTACCTAATTTCACTTTTAGAGGAACTTTATCTAATCTCATTTCGGATAATATTTCCTTCAAATTTAAGGTAGATGAACTTTACCAAGTTGGAAAAGATACCTTCTTTTTCTAGCATGGTAAGAGTATTTTGTTTTGCTTTGTTCTTTTAAAGCATATATAAGTATATACTAGAAAGCCTTGCTTGGTGATGTATGCCTATAATCACAGCATTCTGTTCCTCTGTGGGAGGAACTCAAGTTCAAGCCCAGCCCAATTTAGCGACTTTGTGAAACCTTGTCTCAAGATAAAATTTTTTAAAAAGAAGGCTAAGGGCCAGGGATTTAGCTCAGTGGTTCTGCCGCCTGCCTCGCAAGCGCAAGGTCCCAAATTTGATCCCCAGTACCAAAAAAAAAATAAAATAAAAATTAAAAAATAAAATAAAAAAAGAAGGGCTGAGGATGTAGCTCAGTGTGAAGGCCTTGGGTTTCACCCCCAGTACCACAAACAAAACAATGTTAATCAGGAACTAAGAAAGGTTGAAGTTATCCTTTTTTCCCTTTAATTTTAGAAACTTAAATTTTCTGAACTTGAGCTAGTCTTACTTTCTAGGATAAGCGCTACTTGATTATATCATTCCTTTTTCTTTAGTGTACTGTTGGTTTCTGTTAAGTAATATTTAGCATTTTTGCAAGTGAAATGAGCATATAATTTTCTTCTTTTGTCTCTAGATTTGAAATTAATGTTTTGTACTCTGAAGGAACCAGTCAGCTTTCATGCATTTTTTCTTTTTCTGGAACAGCTTACATAAAATTGGGCATATGACTACAATGTCTGAGATCCCAGCAAGAGTCCTAACATCTAACAACTCCATCACCAGAAGAGGCCTCATAAAATTAATCCCCACAAGCACATCTAAAGGTAAAATGATAAACTCTCTATTTGGAGTTTCGGTTATAAGGGGTCTGCTTTTGCAGAAGTAATTTTCTGGGTGAGAACTGCATGTTTAAAAATAAACTACCCCAGCTAGGTGCCAACAAAGGATTAAAATGGTCCCAGACGCTCCCAATTTTGTGATTGAAAGAACCATTCCTAACAGGACCATCAGCCTAGGCTTCTTTTATAAATAGAGGAAAATCTATAAGGCTTCTTATTCAACATCTGTATTCTTGGATAGCCAAAGGTCAAATGGACCATAGTATTACCTAGTCCTTTCATGCTTTAATCATGTCTCTAGTGTTCTCATCGCAGGTGAAGGCTACCTTTATAGATAGTCCTATTGCAAATAACTAAATTAGTTAGAAATTAATATAAGGCAGTTAGATAAAGCTGGGCCCTCAGTATAGAAAAACAATTGAGGCACATTCACTGGTTAGCATTATAAAAAGAAAAGAGGTGCTACTTCCCCAAGAGATGAATAGTAGTGATTGATATTCTGAATAGACATCAATCTCCCTAGCCCATTTCCTTTCTAGAAATTCCTTATATGTGACTTGTTTTCCCATTTGATCCCCATTTAATCATTATTACCTGGGTGACTGTACTTGTCATCTTATTTGTCCCACCTCATGCCCACCTTGTAATTTCCCTTTGGGCCTTATAATTTTATCTCACTTAGTACCCACCTCACCTTGTGGCTTTGCCATAAAAAACATCTTTGAAAAGCGGGGTGGGCAGGCAACCCACTTTCCAGTCTCTCTTAGAAGCTATCTTTCTCTCAATGAATTTTTCCTACTCTTAACCTCTTTTGTTCCTAGAATTAGTTCTCAATTTTAGAAAACAGGAACTCGAGTTTCAGATATCTAGCAGGTTTGGGAGTTACCAAGGGCATTTGCATCACCTATGGAAAACCTCGGATCCTTGCATACCAGGTGTCCTTAACAACTCATTCCATCATCCACACTGCACAAAAGTTGCTACATCAGCAGGCAAGCAAGGAACTACTGAGCACTTTGTGTTACCAAGTAGACACTGACAACAAAACAAATGGCACAATGTGTCTCTTCACAATACCAGCACCAGTTGAGACTCTAGAGAAACCACCTTGCCTAGGTGAAGAACTTTCTCTTCTTGGGTAGGCAGGACTTGAAGGAGATGCTCCCTGACTTGTGCCACTGTTAAGTCACTAACACTTTTACACACTGAACTAGTCTTGAGAACTAAGATGTTTTCTTTTTAAATGAATGTGCAACATATTCTTGATGAACTATACAATGATGTGAGCCAGAGGCATACTTTATAGACTATGTGCAATGGACTGAAAGACAAATTAATCTTGGTGAATGATTTTTCATTTCTTGTTTCTATCTGTCAATCTTTTTTTGTTGTTCTTTTATTGGCACATTTTAGGTATACAATACATTTACATTTATTATTGGGTGCTTGTACCTGTACATGATATATCTTGGTTCTTATTTTTTCCCCCATTACCTGTGCACCCTTCACCCGCTCTGCCCTTCCCTATTTACATAGATTTCATTTCCTTTTTTTTTCTTCTCTCATAGTTTTTCCTTTCCCTCTTTTCCTTTCCCCTTCCCCTCCCTTCACTCCTTCATCTTTGGACCTTTTTTCCCATCTATCTGTCAATCTTAATCAGTGTTCTGAGGCCTTAGATCATTACCTTTTTCTGGTTCCTCACTCTGTTTTACTCTAATGGGTCCCAGAACTCCTTCCCCTGACCACTTAACAGAATCAGAAAGTGAAGTAAAAGAAGAAAACATTTGGCACATAAACAGTGTCTATTCTAGAGAATGGAATTCCTCTAAAGAAGAGGAACCCAACCCATAGCACCCAGCCTAGCAACACATCTCAAGAGTCTTAGCTGGCAAGTGAAGGGCCTTTTAAATTACTCTATAACTTGGAAATCCTTAACTCCTAATTCCTGGTTATATCATACTACCCTCTTGGATCCAAGTACACCAGTCCACATACTTCAAGAGATAGGTCTCTCCCATTGTTCTCCCATTGTTCCCACTGGGTGACTAAACTGGAACCAATTCCTGAATGGCCCCCACTGGCTTCTTTTGGAGTCCTACCTTTTCAGAAGCCCCTTAAAAGTCCTGGCTAGCTCTCTAAGAGATTATGCCACTCTAAATGGAGCCCTGCAATTTGCCACCAAACACTTAAGCTGAACACTGAGTAGAGCCACTCCCATACTAGAATACTTAGATTCCTGACTCACCTGCCTCTAGTTGTTGCTGTGACTGGCTAATAAATTGGTTAGGGAAACCACCTGCCCTGAACCCCTTGATACTACTCCTACACTAACTTCCAAAAGGCAATTAACAAACTCCTAACTACATCACTATAAAAAAATCATCATTTGTTCTGATATATTCTAATGTTGCTGATTAAGAAAGGGGTGAACTGTATAGTCTACATTTGAAAACTTATGCCTTTTCAACCAAACTGTGCCATGCCCTCACAAGCTAAAATACTGCCATGTACTGAGTATATGCCCAAGGGTTCTATTATTGAGTTACAGAAAATGTGCATTATGAACATGCCTTCTGTGGGTAAAATGAAGCTGTCAATGAAGAAATTGTCAAAAGAGACCATATTTAAAAGATAAGTTAAATATTCTTCACACTCAGTACTTTCCCCACTCCAATTTACTCTGCCTATCTGACTATACTTTAGCTAGGACATCTAATTATTAATGGGAAGGGAAAAGTAGACCATCACCCTTTTTGTTACTCAACCAACACAACCCTTATTATAGAGGTGGAGCTCAACCATTAGAAAGCAAGAAGTTGTTTCCCCCCACACCCCCGCAAAAATAAACCTTTCTGAGCATGATCTTTGCTGACATTCCTTTCTAGGGAGGCAATTGAAATAAATTGGATAATTACAGAAAAGAAAATTGTAAGAATATGAATTTATCTTCCTTTATTTCCTAGGTTTAGGAAAACCTAGGATTCCTCTTTCTTTTGAGGAGGGAAATTTCAAATCTAGCCTACATTACTCCAAAACCTGCAGTTGCAGCATGAATATTTTGTATCATAAGCTTCCACCAGGCTGGCTTCAGCTGAGCTGGCCCATGAGGTCATGCCTCGGATTTAAACAAAATCCTTTGCTGTAGAGAATGTGTTTCCTAAGTCTTGGCACCCAGGCTTTTATCAAGAAGAAATAAAATACATTCCAAAAGATGGAAGGAAAAGGACTAAGAGAGAACTTATGTTTTCAGTATTAACTGCTAAAGGGTTAAAATATTTCATCTGTATAACATTTCCTAGAACAGAAATTTATGTCCTTTTCTACATCCATTACAAATAGCTCAGGAACCCTTTCTAATTTTAATTATTATTATTTTTTGGAACTGGGGATCGAACTCGGGTCATTGCGCTTGTGCAGAAGGTGGGAAAACCACTGAGCTAAACCCCCGGCCCTTCCCCTTTCTAATTTTAAAGAAACTTTCTGTAGAAAATCTCAGTCTGACTCAATCTGAAGCTAGAGTTTTAGTGACATTGTTTCTCTAAGTAGATTAGATTTTCTTCTCCCTGAACAAGGGATAGTATATGCCGTTATAAATGAATCTTGCTGTGTTTTTTAAATGTGTTAACATACATAAAAATCAGTACCTAGAAATCAACATATATAAAACAAAATGCATAAAAATATTAAATTTTCTCACACATCCTACAATAAAATATAAATCCTATATATGAACCTGTATAACTTGGCATCTAAAGGGAATCAGAAAACAGATTGTTCAAAGTGTATCAGTTACACTCTTTATTTAAGTTTTATTTTTTCCTATTTCCATAATTAAGTGCTATATATAAGGTGGAATCAAACAAGCAGTAATGGAATCACAATCTGTAAATGTACAATAAGTGTAAGGAGAGCAAAGGATGTTTATAACCTAATGAGTATTTCTGCTGAGCCTTAGGAAAAAGAATTCCTCTGTGAAAATTATTGACCTGAAACTATACCATCTGTTAGTGTAACCTCTGATATATGGAAACTGTTCCTATGTAGATGTTCTATAAAATTGGTTTTTAATAAATTATAAGAAACTGTTTACTGGGGTTTTTTCCCCCAAGGAGGGCATGGGAGGAGGTAGGGAAGAGGTCTTATAAGTAAAATACGTTGATGTCTTTGTATCCTTTATATGTCCCTTTACCTCTGTGTGTGTATAAAAGTGTCTTGCTCATGAATGCACTTTTATTATTCACTCTGAAAAGAAGCCTTTCCTCAACCTGGCAGCTGAATAAACCAACAGCTTTGTATTTGCTGAACAGAGTACGGTCATTTATCCTCAGTAAATGAAATAGATCCTGCTTTGCTTAAAGCATGTTCAGCATTCAATAAGTACCAAATAGAGTTAATAGATACACTGTCTGTCTCTGTGGAGTATCTCTGCTAAGAAGTGTCTTGGCATCTTTAGAGAAGAAATATACTTGAAGAAAAAAAATGTATCATTCAGTCAAGACCCACATTTGAACTCATTTATTTATATATTTTAAGTAATTCCAGGTTATACAAAATGGTAAGGACCAGAATAAGCCTTAAGCCTTGACATTTTATATGCCAGAGATTTGAGGTTGGTTGTGAATTTACCAGTTTACATTCTCCCTATGTGGGTATCCCTCCAATTAAATGTAGTGATGTAGTCACCATAACTAGGATTAAGTCAGATGAATTTATCCCGTGTTTATTGAAATAGTATTCAAAGCAGTAAAGAAACAGGATTTCTAAACCAGCAGCCATTAATAAATTATGCAAAGATGTTTTCTCAGTGCAGAGGGGCAGTCTTTTTGTTGAAGTGTCCAGATACCTTGAGCCTAGTCTTTTAATTCCATCTGCTTCCTAAGAATAGGAAAAATGTATGCATGACAAAAGCATACTTCTTTGGGGTAGTTTTCTGCCAGGCCTCCCATCACCTATCCATCTAAAGAATTTCTCTATTATGAAAACAGTCTTTTGATATTAGAATAGATTGCTAAAGCAATGAAGGATCTTAGAAGTCACTTGGGTTATTTTCTTACTAATGAATACATTCTTATATGTTTAATAAATGGCTTTCTACATTTGGCTCCAGTGTTAGGGAATGCAATGTCTTTTAGATCAGCCCATTACTTTTTAATATCTCTTACTAGAAGTTTAGCCATTCATCCAGTAATATGAAAGAGTATCTACTATGGTCCAGACACTGGGAATGCAAAATTACCTAAGATACTATACCTAAAAAACTAGTTGTTATATGAACTAACATACATTACCCTAAGCCATTGCAGCTCTCTAGGGTTATGTGAATTGATTCTAGACCCTAATCCATACTGGCTCTTCAAATATTTGAAAATGGCTTATGGTTAGGATGAAAGCAATTGAGTGGAGTATTCATCCTAGGAGAGTGGAATTCATTTAGAGGGCACACTCCACCGAGTACATCCAACAAGAGGCAGTTGGCCAAGAAAGTAAATGAAACGTATGGCTATTTTGTATGCAGATTTAAGTTGTATATACCAAATCCACAAGTCAATGACACAAAGATCAGGGCTGGAAGTATTTTGGCTCAGACGGCAAGGGTATACAGAAAAGCCTAGAAAGTATAGGTAAACTTCTCGGACTTCATGAAACACCTTTGTGTGTGCTGCTGGCATATTAATTGACCAGTGAGCAATATCTATTAGATTTAGGGGAAGAAAAGGAGCTACGCTGGCATTAACTGTGAAGTACACCTTGTGTGTCACCTTGCTGTTGTGGAAAGGAAAATGTATCTGATCATTTTTTTAAACTTAGTTAATGGCTACATATTTGAGTCTGATAGTTCAATTCGATCTGCTAAGTTTATCTTTTTAATTTGTTTCATTACTGAGACCAGTAACTTAGACTTTAATATGAGCAAAAAGTAAACTACCCTATTAAACTTCTGAAATGCAGGAAATTAACAATTAGTAGTACCTTACTTATGTTACCTTAACATAACATAGTTGCCTTGTTAATATTGAAAATGTTGTTGTTGTTTTGTTGTTGTTGTTTGTTTGTTCTTGGGACAGGCTCTTGCTATGTGGTTCAGGCTGGCCTGGAACTCATGGCGATCCTCCTGCCTCAGCCTCCTGAGTGCTGGGATTACACAGAGAAAATGTTGTTACTCCGACTACATTTTATGTTTTCTGAAAACTGCTATTATTATGGATTGCAGGAAATTATATTAAAGGAGGCAGTCAGCTGTCTAGCCTCTTAAAGGCCAACCCTAAGGTCTAAGAGCAGATGGTTGCAGTATTGCAGCCCACACAAGCTCCAGTGCATCCCTATAAGTCAGTGACATTAAAAACAAAAATTGAAGGGATTATGTAAAGGGGTAGGAGTAGTTTTGAGTACCCTTTGGCCCGTAACCCATATTATTGTAACCACAGTCATAATATTACCTAGTTATTAATGTAATTCTGATCAAATAAGACAGGGATGCAGGAGAGGATGGTGTGGGACAACCATATCCTTCCTCATTCAGTATTGCAGTAAATATAAAATGGGTCAGGAAATAATATATACATCCTTTAAATGCCCATGTCTGAATAAAGCTGGCAGAATCCGTGACTGAGAACAGAGGTACAAGGGAGACTTTATTTTTTCACTCCTGAATATGAACATATTACTTGTTTTAAAATACAGTTTTAAAAAATGCAATATTTATAGTTAGCTTGTGAGAACTGATTGTCCAGAGAAGGTGTAAGTTTACTAAATTTCAAAAATATGTCTACATAATCTTTTATCCACATTGGTGGATCTAGTGTAAAATTTATAACAAAATTTAATAAGTATATTTCATGATATCCTTCTCTTGAACTTAAGAAATTCCATAGGGATTAGAAGACTCAGAAACAACTCCAGACACACTCAGCTACCTCATCTTCGACAAAGGAGCCAAACACCCTCACTGGAGGAAAGACAGCCTCTTTAATAAATGGTGCTGGAAAAACTGGGTTTCAACTTGCCAAAGATTAAAACTAGACCTATATGTATCACCATGCACTAAACAAAAATCAAAATGTATCAAAGATCTCAATATTAAAACAGAAACATTAAACCTGCTGGAAGATAGGTTAGGTAGAACCTTGAAGACACTGGTGTAGGAAAACACCAATGTGTTTTCCACCAAACCCTCAGTCGCATGGGAACTAGCACAAACAATCAACAACTGGTATCTCATCTTGCTAAAAAGCTTCTGCACAGCAAGAGAAACCACTAACAGACTCAAGAGACAATCTACAGTGTGGGAAGAAAATTTTACCAGCTGTTCCTCAAAAAACTACTACCTAGAATATATAAAGAACTTTAAAAAACTAGACCCCTCAAATAAAACAG